CTTGTAGATCAAACTGTCCTTGAACTCAGAGAAATCTGCCTGCCTGGGCTCCAAGGACTGGGATTAAAGGAATATGCCACCATGCCAGTCCTCATAGTAGATCTCTATAGAGGATTTCCATAGGTACAATTCCTGTTGTTGATATGTTAATTTGCAGGAGCACCAAGATACTAACAGACCATTTGTTAGCTGAGATAGATAGAATTTGTAGCTAGTGAAACATGTCAATACAAGTGAATATAAACTGGAGTGAATGAGTAGTCACTTTTAATGGCTACCATGTTGGTTTTTGGCTCTTTCCCATCCATTTAAAAAACAAAACAAAATCACTTTAGGTAAATGCATAGTTCCCATAGCCAATTCTTGTCCTTAGTGTCTCTAGATATGACCCCATTAGTCCAGTCATTCTCGTGGGCATTTTTTAAATTTATTTTATGTCATTGATGTTTTGCCTACATGTTTGTCTGTGTTGAGATGTCACATCCCCTGCAACTGGGTTACAGACAGTTGTGAGCTGCCATGTGGATGCTGGGAATTGAATCCAGGTCATCTGGGAGAGCAGTCAATGTTCTTAATTGCTGAGACTTCTCTCCAGTCTTGCCTGCCTGCCTGCCTGCCTGCCTGCCTGCCTGCCTGCCTGCCTGCCTGCCTCCCTCCCTCCCTCCCTCCCTCCCTCCCTCCCTCCCTCCCTGCCTCCCTTCCTTGGGGTGTATATTGCTTTGTGCTATATGATGATGCAATAACACAGGTCTGACCTCAAAGGAAATAGAGGTCTTTTATTTTAGAGCCCAGTATGAATGAATGACTATGGTTTGGGAATGCAGATTCAGATCACCCCAAATACATTCTCTGGTAACATTCTGATGAAATTTTTATATCATCAAAACAAAAGAAAGTCATAAGGCACCTTAAAGACACACCAGTGATAGCCAGTTGTAGTGATACATGCTTTAATATGAACACTTGTCCATCAGAGACAGGAAGATCACTAGTTTGAGGCCAGCCATATATACTTGGACAGTTCCAAGCCAGCCAGTGCTACATAGTTGAGACCCTGTCTCAAATAAATAAATTAATTAACTGGTTGAAATGCTAGGTAGACAAATTATAGCAGAGCAAAAAGTTGTCTGCTACAGACTTTAGATGTTACCTGATGACATTCTTAGCCTTTGGGGATAGTGGAAGCCAGAGGCTTTTTGCACAACCCCAAAATATTTTATGATTTATTTGTAAAAAAATAAAATTTAAAAAATATTTATTTGTGTGTGTGTGAGAGAGAGAGAGACAGAGACAGACAGACAGACACCTAATTCATTCCATTAGGATAGTTTACAGGATATGGCCACCTTAGTTTACCAGTGGTTCCATTGCTGAAGAAAATGTTTCTCCTCTATCAATTGCACATAAATCCTTAGGGAGGGGTTGATCTGAAACTTTTAAGGTACTTTTTTGCCAGGCAGCACCTAGTTATTTTCTCCCCTCACTTCCTCAGCATCATTCTTTCCTTCCTCCTTGTCTACTTGGACGTACTTCCCTGACTCAGATTCTTTCAACACCAGGAAGAACCAAGTTGTTTTTATCATCATAGTTGGCTCTTTTATGATTTTTTTTATTTTATATGTGTATTTTTCCTGCATGCATATGTGTGTATTACATCCAAGTCTGGTGTCCATAGAGGTCAGAAAAAGCTATCAGATCCCCTGGAACTGGAGTTACATATGGGTCCTAGGAACTGAACCTAGGTCTTCTTCAAACAGCCAGTGCTTAACTTCAAGTCATCTGCCCAACCCCTCTTTTTTTTTTTTTATTTGATTGTCCAGTCATTGTTGACACCCTAAGCTTGTTTTTGTAAAATGTGAAGAAGGAAGTGGCCCTCTAGGGCAACAGTTCTTAACCTCTGTGTTACAACCCCTTTGGAAATTAAACAACCATTGCACTGGGGTCACCTAGTACCATCAGAAGACACAGATATTTACCTTACAATTCATAACAGTAGCAAAATTACAATTATGAAGTAGCATCAAAACTAATCTTATGACTGGAATTACCCCAACATGAAGACCTGTATCATAAGGGATGCAGCATTAGGGAGACTGAGAACCATTGCTGTGGGGGTAATAATACCATTTCAGTAACAGAGAAGCATAGTGATCAGTAAATTTAACAATATTATTTTGCCAGGCTTTGCAAGACCAGGGAAAAAGCTTAAATTTGCGTGTCTCTTGCTAATTTGAAGCATAGACTCAGGAACTTGGATGACTTTCAGTTATTTCAGACAGGAGTTTGATAAGACAAAAGATTACTTGAAGTTTATCAAGGATTTTTTTGTGATGGTGTCAGAATCTAAGCATTTTGAGACATTTAGTTCCAGTATACAGTTAAAGTGATATAGTACAGCCGGGCAGTGGTGGCGCGCGCCTTTAATCCTAGCACTTGGGAGGCAGAGGCAGGCGGATCTCTGTGAGTTCGAGACCAGCCTGGTCTACAAGAGCTAGTTCCAGGACAGGCTCCAAAACCACAGAGAAACCCTGTCACGAAAAAACAAAAAAAAAGTGATATAGTACTTGAAAACCACTTTGAAAGGCCTAAGGTGAGAGAATGTTCCCCTGAAAAGCAAAATAATAAACTAGCTCCTTTGTGAAATTATGTTTGTCTCCCTGTGTACCATACTAAAATAAAAACAACTGACCACAGACTGGTGAGGTGTCTAAGGGTAAAGGCACTTGTCACCCAAGCCTGGTGTCCTGAAATCGATCCTTAGAATCCACATAAAGTTGGAAGGAGAGAACCAAAGTTGTTCTTAGATGTCATGGCATGTGTACCCACATGTACATCATACACACACATACACTACCATTTGTCACACACAGCATGTGTCCCCCCTCATATATCACATAATACACATACACTAGCAATAACAGTAACAATAGTAGTATTAAAAGACAATTGTATACAGAGAAAGTTCCAGGACTGCTACACAGAGAAACCCTGTTTTGAAAAACAAAAACAAAACGACTGGTATTGGTTAAGATGTGAAGGGACCTGTCACATGCTGAGGGGAATGACATTTTTAAATATAAGCATTTTTACCATTATAGAATAACAATTGGATAAATACATCCACAATATTGCTTGCATTTAGGAAACAAGAGACTTAGAATACACACACTCACTATGTCTTTTTCTAGGGTGAAAACAAAAGTCATATGTATGCCTGAGGATAGTGGGCCAGCCCGATCTCAGGATAATACTGTTTTGAATCTTGTGTGCATGTTCTGTCACAAATGACAGTTGTCTAGTACCCCCAAGTGATGCCTTGACTTTGATTCCAGACTTGCAGGGGTTTGTTCCTGCCACTTGAAGGTCTGGGAAGAAACCAGCTTTGGATGGCCTGTTTTCATTCATTCCCAGTCAGAGCTGAAGTGGGGCAGTTATACTCACTGTTTATTGAGCACTTCTGTTATTTGGGTTCATCTTGAGAGATAGATGGTGTGGTGGTTTGAGTGAGATAGCCCCAGAAGTCTCTGGTACTTGAATTGGTTTGAATACCCTAATTTGGCTGCTTGAGGAGGATTAGGATGTGCAACCTTGCTGGAAGAAGTATGCCACTTGGGGGCTGGGCTTTGAGGTTTCAGAAGACTTCACTCCATTTAGCTTTCTCTATTGCTTGTGGCTTGAGAGTCGGCTGCTGCTCTAGTTGTCTGCTGCTTGTTGTCTCTACTCTGTCATCTAAAACATGTTGTCTTTATTCTTCAGATAAGTAAAAAGTCAAATTAAAACTTCTCTCTTCCTATTGATGAGTCCAAACTTCATAGTGAAGCCCTTTTATTTTTTGTCCTTGTGGATAAAGGATGTATTTCTTTCTGGTCCCTCATTACTTTTCCTTCCTTTATCTTTTTCTCCTCTCTTTTTCCTTCCCTCCCTCCTTCCCTCACTCCCTTCCTTCCCTCCCTCCCTTCCTTCCTCACCCCCTTCCTTCCTCCCCTCCCTCCCTCTCTCCCTCCCCTCCTCTCCCCTCCCTCCCTCCCTTCCTTTATTATTTTTTTTTTTGAGGCCATATCCCAGGCTGTCCTGGAGCTCTCAGGTGTGCTGTGCCACATCAGGCTTTTGTTTTGTTTTATTTTATTTTATTTTATTTTATTTTTTGATGTTAGGTATTTGTTTATTGTGTTGGGAATTTTTGCTGAGCACTTTTCATCTGCTGTCTGACTATTGAACCCGGGGAGCACTGTTGTGAAATAGTTGGTATTTCACCCAAGATGCCAGTAGAAGAAAGAACCCTCCAGGTGAGCTTCTCATGGTTAACAACCATCTGAAGGGAGTTTCAGACCAGGGTTTTCATACCAGGTTTGTTTCCTCAGATAGTGGACTTTGTAATCATTTTGCTTCCATCCTAAATACTTGAAATTTGCGGCTGCATAGAAAATTTGTACATGTTATAAGTTCTCAGAAGAGAACTTCTCAGATGGGACATGCTAATGTTTGCTATATTAGTCTATGGTGGGTTACATGTAATTCTGTGTTTTAGCACAATGCCACTAGAAAAGGTGGGACTCTAAAAAACACACTCTAGCCAGTAAAGGAATATGATTTTGACTTCTTAAGTTGTACTACAGGTGTATCGTCATTAACAGCAGCTGTACCCAGGTCCCCAATGACAAAGTCTCAGGTGATAGTACTGCTCCTTAAGCCTGGTGTCAGAGAGAGAACAGTTTTGCTGCTACTTTAGCAGCAGGAGCTCTGGAGTTCCGTCATCCTGTAATTTCTAATTAGAACTGGGTGGCCAGGCCTCCCAAACCATCAGTTATTTGTACATTATGGTCTGTGTTTCTGAAATGGTCTCAGCAGTTGATCCTGCCTTGGGTGACTATGGGAGAAAAGGAAAGGGCTCTTGTCTGGAAATAAAATTAAGAGGTCATGAGCATTCCTTTTTTTCTTTTCTCTCTTTGTCTTTTTTGGTTTTTTATTTTTATTTATTTATTTTTTTTTTGTCATCCTAGTATTAAGCATGCTCCAAAATCCACTGGGAAATGTCCTAGGAAAAACCCCCTTGAGCTTCCTGTCTCTGGATCCCCTTGGGTCTGACTTGGACAAGTTCCCAGCACCCTCAGTTAGAGGATCTCGCCTGGACACCCGGCCCATCCTGGACTCCCGTTCTAGCAGCCCCTCTGACTCAGACACGAGTGGCTTCAGCTCTGGATCAGATCATCTCTCAGATTTGATTGTATGTAACATGCTCAGGAATGGGGGGTGTGTGGAGGTGGAGTTGTTTGTGTGTCCTAGGGGGAAAGATGCTGCAGTGTCTGTCTAGAGCTTGAAACAGTACCCGTCCACCAGGATGCATGCGAGCGAGAAGATCATCAGGCACCCTCTTTATAGCCATTCATCCTTAGCAAATTCAAGGGCACTTTGAATGTCCGTGAACAATACATTTTAGGCCTTGTTACTCCAAGAGCTATTAGAGAACAGCTGTAAACAAGAACATCTTGGCAGTGTTTTATTTCTTAAATACATGAATGTTTCCTTTTTAGGTTTTAAACGATATTCCTAATATACCTCTGTGTATAATATCCCAAATTTTATAAGTGGTATTTTAATAAATGATCTTAATTCACAATTAGTAGTGAACACTGGAATTTTAAACAGAATTTGACTTGAGCTCCTGTACTTGTACACTGATCCATGCCAACTCAGTCTGAAACTTTCATCAAATTTATATCTCCCGTGTTCCTTACCTACAGCCATGTGTGATATGTGTAGTCTCCATGCTAATTAGTCAGAACATGGATTAGAGTGGGTGGGGAGGATGGTATAATGGCATTTATAGACGAGCATAGACAGTATAGTTAGACGGCAGAAGTAATTACATGTGAGTCTTCAAGGGGGAAGAGGCAATGAGACAACTTTCTGAAATAAGATCCAACTTTTAAGGTGCCATCTCAACCTTTTCTGTCACCAAATGCTCTAAGCAAAATTTCTCATCTTCTTATCTCTGGTTTCCCATCCATGGCTTTTAGATCCCACCCTATCTTCTTTTTGCACTGTCCTGGACTACGAACAATGGCATTAGTATTCCCATTGCCTCCTCATGTAATCTGTCCAGACTAGCTTCTAGGAAGACAGCTTCAGTCAGCTCCTTTACCTCCCTGTAAGATCGGTTCACATGAGGTGCTTGTTCTGTTTCATTACGTAGATAGTGCTCATCTTGGGAATTTACCTCATGACTGACAAATACAATTTTTTTTTCAGATACCCACCTAAGAATTAATTTGGAAAGAGACAAAGCTAACACAAAAGAGGAAATAAAATAGTTTTTGTATTTACAGAAAATATTCTGTCAACAAATTTTAATATATTCTTTGACACTTAGAATTTCACGATTTAGTATAAATATATAGTATAACATGTTCAAATAAATACATTTCTAATAGAGCATAGAGCCAGAGCCATCAGAGAAAAAGTTGTTTAACCATAGGGAACTGGATCAGTAGGCTGTTGTTGTCTCCTGAATAAAATGTGATAAATTCATTAAAATTGTTATGAGAACTCTCTGGCAAGAAAAAAAGTCTATGTGGAGAAATGGAATTTATTTTAGTTATATTATAGTCTATAACTAATCTTAAAAATGGATAGGAAGACATATACTAAGTTATAAATGTTAAATACTTCTAAGATTTTGTTATATGATTATTACTTTATAACAAAACTGTCTTTTAAAACTCGTGTCTTCCTTTTTCCTCCTCTAGTCAAGCCTTCGCATTTCCCCTCCTCTGCCCTTCCTTTCTATGACGGGGAATGGTCCCAGAGACCCTCTAAAGATGGGAGTTGGGTCCAGAATGGACCAAGAACAAGCTGCTCTTGCTGCAGTTACTCCCTCTCCAACCAGTGCTTCAAAAAGATGGCCAGGAGCTTCTGTGTGGCCATCCTGGGACCTTCTCGAAGCTCCTAAAGACCCTTTCAGCATAGAGAGAGAAGCTAGATTACACCGGCAGGCTGCAGGTGAGTGCAGCTTGATTCTGGGTAGACTGAGGCCTGAGGCCTCATTTTAGAGACAATTGACCTTTGCTTACACAATAGTGAACTCTTCTGGAGGAGGGTTTGTTAGTGTGGTAAGGTTTTCAGGTCTGTATAAACTATGTACTTTGTAGAATAAAGGACAACCTTGAGACTGAGTTGAAAGAGGCAGATAGCCTGGCACACAGAAAATGGCTGGCTCCACCTCCTACTGTGAGCATCTGTGAAAATTGGCTGTGCCCTACCCTTGCTTTTGATTGTTGCATGAGAAAGGTAAAGTCTTAAAAATGATGCCTACAGTTTTGTCTGCCTTTTCTGTTTCTAATTCAGAGTCTCACGGCAGTCACAATTCATTTGCTGGCTTTCTACCCTGATATTTTCTGATTACATTCAGGCTATTAGCCTCTAAGGTATGGGATGTTACCAGATGCTCTGATAATCTGATCTTATCTCTTTGAAATTCTTTAGTTTTTATCATTTAAGTGATAAGTGAAGGTTGGAGAGAAGGCTCAGTGCATAAAGAGTCCTGCCTTCTCTTCAGAGAACCTGGGTTCAGTTCCCACCACCTACACGGCACCTAACAACTGTTTGTAGCTCTAGTTCCAGGGGTCCAAAACCCTCTTCTGACCTCTGCAGGTCTCAGGTGTGCTCAGAGCACACAGACATGCATGCAAGCAAGATACCTATGTACATAATACAAAAATAAATTAGAGTTTTTGTTGTTTTTTTGTTTTTGTTTTGTTTTTTTGAGACGGGGTTTCTCTGTGTAGCCCTGGCTGTCCTGAAACTCACTCTGTAGACCAGGCTGCCCTTGAACTCATGATCCTCCTGCCTCTGCCACCTTCAGCAAATCCTACCAGCAGGCACCACCACAACTGGAAAATTAAATTTTTATTTTATTGGTTTGTTTAGTTTGGGTTTTCAAAGACAGGCTTTCTCTGTGTAGCTCTGGCTGTCCCGGACTTGCTTTGTAGACCACGCTGGCATCAAACTCAGACAGTCTCTGCCTCATGAGTGCTAGGAGTAAAGGCATGCGCCACCACTGCCTGGCAAGATGCATAATGTTAAGTGTGCATTAAATCTGTTTTTCACATTACCTCTGAGCTTGGGAATAAATGAGCTACTTACATCATTAACTGCTAGTGTTTTGGGGTTTTCCACTCATATCATGGTTCTGAGGTACCTGACTGAATGACCATCCCTATCTCATTCTCCCCTAATGGTGTTTGTCTGTTTGGTGGTTCTGATAGCTCATGTTCGTGCTTACTATGTAGCCATTGTATGGTGTGCTTTCTGGAGGCTTCTCGGTTTTGCATGAAATATTGCTAGCATTGCCCCATTCCTTTTGTGTGTTTTGCTTTGCTTTATTTTTTGTTTTGTTTTTCTTTTCGAGACAGGGTTTCTCTTTGTTGCTTTGGAGCCTGTCCTGGAACTAGCTCTTATAGACCAGGCTGGCCTCGAACTCGCAGAGATCCGCCTGCCTCTGCCTCCCGAAGTGCTGTGACTAAAGGTGTTCATCGCCACCACCTGGCCACAGTGCCCCATTTCTTGTCACAGTAACACATCAGTCTTGTACATGTTGGGTAATGGCCTGGTATCCAGGAGGGAATAATGGCTCATCTCCTTGAATGTGTTCCTCAGTGCTGAAGGAGAAGGGTAATACGATGAAGAGTAACCAGTCCTCACCTAGATCACCTTCCTATGTGAAAGGCCTGAACTAATTGCCAAGAGCAGACTTCTGGAAGTTATAGGACAGGCCAGTCTTAAGAGAGTTCCAAACATACACAACAGAAAGGGCCTCTTGGCATAAGTAGGAAGCTGAGGGTTTGGACAGAAATCCATCATCGTACAGTGTAGGCAGCAGGGAAGCTCAGTGCCCACTTAAGTGCTTTGCGTGGGTTTATGGGGCATGGTAATGTTCTTACTCTGTTGAGTTGTGTTTTCTACTGACAGTGTCCTGACTTCTGTGGTCCAGAGACAAGATAGGGAAGTGTAGAGTTTTTACCTTGGAGAAGACAGAAACTTAAAGAGAATTGCACATAAAATTGTTCTGTCTACTTTTTTTTAAAAAAAACTATTTATAAATCTACTTAGTATATAAACAATAGCAAGATAAAACTGATTTGTTGCTAGTTTATCGGTTATATAGTTGAAATTGTTTACATTGTGATCATTTTTACCCTGCACTTCTGCTATTCCTTTCAGTTATTTTGCAAGCAAAGCTGCTGAGGTAGGATTATCAGACTTACTTTAAATAGCTGAGAGAGTTTTCTGTCTTTCAGAATAACCATGGATAGTCTTCTTCCGGGCAGCCAGGTTGGAATGGTGACTGCTGTATTTCTCGTCAATAAGTCCATATCAGAGAAGGGTAGTGACTTGTTGATTGAACTCTTGTTTTCTCTTTGCTCCTTTCCAAAGCTGTGAATGAAGCTACCTGTACCTGGAGTGGCCAGCTTCCTCCCCGAAACTATAAGAACCCCATCTACTCCTGCAAGGTGTTCCTAGGAGGTGTTCCTTGGGATATTACGGAAGGTGAGCTGCCTCTGAGATCTCTTATAAGAGTTGGAGGTGGGGCATATCTTTAAGGAGTGTGAGCCCTAGGCTCCTGTTTAGGGCTTGAACCTCTACCTCAGCAGAGTGTTACAGGAGCAGCTGAGGGGAGGGTGTATTTCATAAGCTTTCAAAGTGATTCTGTTTGTCTGCTTACCCATGAGACCAAAAGTTGATTCTGAGCTATTGTCAGGAGCAGTGAACCTTGGGAGGAGTGCTGGGGGGGGGGGGGTGTCCTCTGTGTGTGTATCTTTCCTGAGTAGACTGTTTCTTGGTTTCTGCTCTTGCCCACTGTGCAGCTGGATTGGTTAACACCTTCCGTGTTTTTGGTTCTCTGAGTGTGGAGTGGCCTGGTAAGGATGGCAAGCACCCCCGGTGTCCTCCCAAAGGTAATATGCCTAAAGGTAATACAGACATGGTAGGAAAAATTTTTTTTGCCCTCCCTCACACACACTGTACCACGTGGTGTTGGGATGTCACAGAAGCATGCTAGTAATGCAGGCACTCCAGGGTGCACTCAGCACATCCTCTTCAGTTTTGCACATTTCTTTTGTCCATCTGTCCAAACTTGCAGTGCTGTAGGGAGTTGCCCCCAGACCCCTTCCTGTGCACTTCCCTCCAAAGCTGAACCCCAACTTTCCTCTTGAATAAGGCATTTCAAGAGTGTGCCTTTGCTGCCTCAGAGGCTTGTCATCTGACCCAGTTCTGAGATTCCCTTTGGAGTTGTCAGGAATGAGGACCAACTATCTGAAACCTCACTGGTCTAAAATGAGATCCTGCCCTGTAGAAGGGAGCAGGTGCTATTTTCTCTCTGCTCCATCTTCATTGAAATTGAACCAATGGTTTAATTAGACTTTTAAAGCAATACCTTCATTCCCTGACAAACTGCTACTCTTCTTGGCTTTGCTGAACCGAGCATTCTCTGTGTTCTGGGGTAGAAAGCTGTGTAGTAATGGGTGGGGTCTACTGTTTTGGCCTGACAGTTCCTTCCTTAGTGAAATAGGATATGCATCTCTTTCCCTTAGCCTGGGCATAAGACATAGTAAGTACTTCATTTGACAAACCTTTTCAGGAGTAGAACAAAAAGGTACTTTGGGATGAAGGATTGGTTCAGCAGTAGAGTACTTGCTTAGCATGCACAGACTATAGGTTCAATCCCCAGCATCTACCTCCAAAAAATGTCCTGTACTTGAGGCTTCCTCCCTTAGAAGAAACTCCCTGCTCCAAAGCCATGGCTCTTCGGCCACCATAGAGGACATTAAATAGCCACCCAAGGAGTAGTAAAGTGTCTTTTCCTTTTGTTGGGTGTAGGGTATGTGTATTTGGTGTTTGAACTAGAGAAGTCTGTCCGGGCCTTGCTTCAGGCTTGTTCTCATGACCCGATGAGCCCAGATGGCCTGAGTGAATATTATTTCAAGATGTCCAGCCGAAGGATGCGCTGCAAAGAGGTGAGTTAGCTTAGTGTCCTATGTTAGTTACTTTTGCTGTAGTAGTTCTGTTTCGATTGCTGTGATAAAGCACTCTGACCAAGGTAGCTTAGAAAAAGAGAACAGTCTTAGTTGGGTTTACAGTTTCAGAGGGTTAGAGTTTATGATGGTAGAGTGAAGGCCTAGCAGTAGGAACCCCATGGAGAGATCACATCTCTAAACCTCAGGCGTGAGGCTGAGAGTGCATTTGGAATAAATAGCACGAGTATTTTTAAACCTCAAAGTCTGCCCCTAGTGACACACCACCTCCAACAAAACCACAGCTCCTAATCCTTCCCAAATAGGCCCACCAAGGACCAAACATTCAAATGAGTTGCCTATGAAGGCTATTCTCATGTAAACTAACAACAGTCATTGTGATTAAAATACTACAGTCAGACAATTTACAAAAGAATAATTTGGGTTTCTGAGTCCTTTAATCCCAGCGTGTGGGAGGCAGAGGCAAGATGATCTCTGAGTTCAAGGCCAACCCAGTCTACAAAGTGAGTTCTAGGACAGCCAGGGATACACAGACAAACCCTGCCTCAGGAAAAAACAAAAACAAAAAACACTTCATTATGGCAGGAACAAAATGCTAAGAGTTCATATCCTGCATCATAAGCACAAAACAGAAGAAGTTAGAAGTGGCAAGAAGATTTTAATCTCAGAGCCCACTCCCAGTGACCCAATTCCTATAGCAAGGCTATACCATCAAAAGCTTTTCAAACAGCACCACCTACTGGGGACCAAGTTCAAATGCCCAAGACTTTGGGAGACATATCTCATTCAAACCACCACATAGCCCTCCTATGTCAGGATAATTGGCATGGTATGGCACTAGTTTTCTTGGAACCAGGGTGACCGTTAATCTTGCTGTGACAGGAAGTCTGCTTTTCTTGTCCATGGTAAATGCATAAATTGCATTTTTTTGAAAAAGCCAACTGTAAACCCTGTCTCGAAAAAACAAACAAACAAAAAAAACCAACTGTTGGGCCTTGTTAAAAGGGAGGTAAAGGGGAGGTGTGTACAGTGTGCACAAACAATCCTAGAACCAGTGGATCAAGCTTTTCCAGCCTCTCTACATTTAAATTCTAAACCTCAAAATAGAGATAAAACCGGAAGCAACAACTTTCTCTACTTGGACGAAACTGATAAAATCTACAGATACATTCTCCTGGTTCTCATACTGTGCCTCTGACCCTGTAATATGTAGTGGGTGAGTAAATTCTTCTTTAGCACAAGTCCAGCAATGGCTACTTCCCTTCCTTCTTGGGACTTTATTACATAGCATTATCAATATGTTGGTTTTTTTTTTAATACTTGGCATAAGTCTGTGTCCTGAACATCATACTGATTTCACATTGGGGAACTCATTGCAGATTCTTACCTCAGGCTTACTGACTTATTCGAGTGGAGTTTAGGAATCTCTAACTCATTTGGGGAGTAATCAGACTCCCCAGTTGGTACTAGTGGATAGTTGTGAGAACCACTTGTTTTGAGTTCGGGAATTGGGGTGGTGCTGTTTTTATTAGGCTGATTCCAAAGAACTTCACTTTTGTGACATTAAACTACTGTGAAGTTTATTGCTCCCCAGGAAGTTGAAAATACCTCTAGTTAAAAAGATCAGTGCTTTTAGGGGAGCAGACATGACTGGGCAGAGCACAGAGGATTTTGGGGGCTGTGAGATGACATGCAGCTACCATTGCAGTGTGTAAAAGTCGTCACACATTTCCTCTAGACCAGTAATTCACAGCGAACATGAGGAAAACCCAGTGGTGATTGTCAGTGCAGGGTCATCAGCTAGAAAAGATGTACCTTCTAGTGCAGAATGCTGCTAGTTGAGGCCTGTGTGGGACAGTGTGTGTGGAAAATGTTCGTTAGTGGGGTTTGCTATGAACCTAAATCAACTGTTAGAAAGGAAAATCTATTTTTTAATCTGTATCTTAAAGGGTAAAGAGCCCCTTAGGATGGTCACAGCACTTTTAAATAATCCATTGACTAATCTGGTTCTTGGCTTTATAGAAGTTCTTCTGTGTTTTTGTTGTTCAGTCTGACAATTGGTCACTCTCTGTTTCCCACAGTAACCCAGGTTCCCTTCTCTCCTCATTTGATTGGCCCTCAGACAGCAAGCTGGAGCTCATCGTATCTAAGATTAATTCATGTACGCTTTCCTCCTTTATCCCTTGCTTTCACACAGGAGACTGTCACAGCTACAGGACAGCCAGTCTGCCTCATGCCCCTGATGATACCCATTTCTTACCGCCTAGCAGAGATTGAGTCTCCCTTTGATGCGCCAGCTCCAGGCTGTCCCAGTTCTCTCACTTTTGTGACTGTTTTTTTTTGTATGTCCCAACTGTTGTCCACTATTATCAGTACAGTATTTGACTCTCTTACTATCTCTTCTATCTCAGATAATTTATACATTTCTGCTCTTTTTAGACACAGATTCGTCTGTCTAACCTCCTGTCCTATGTAGACCCTATATTCTTTGATATATCCTGTAACTCTATATTGCCCTGTGTGCAAAAGTAGCCTTTTTCATGAATTTGTAGAGCTGTTGACTTTCCTGGTACCTTCTACCAGGCTCTCCAAACCTCAAGCCTTGTAAGTCTAGGTCTTGCTCACCCCCTTGAGAAGTCCTGACCTCTACAGACTTCCATTGAACAATATCTTTACTTGTCCCTGTGACCATTACCACCAGCCTTCTTTAGGTCTTCATTGAATTGTTTTTACCTCCTTGGGTCAGCTTCAGTTCTCGTCCTACTTTAAAACATTTTAAAAGATCTTCACAGACTAATTTTCCAAAAATAGTTATTGGCATTTGTAAGTCTGCTTCATTAGCCCTCTGCCTGCTAGACTAGGTTTGATTCTGGGAGTCAAGAAATCAGAGGACAGAGGATATCACACCTTCCCCAGTGATACTGAGCTTTTTTTATTTAACACCTCAGATCTTTCTGCATAACTGTACATACACACGGGGCGGGGGCAGTGAAGCAGGAGAGAGAAGGAGAGAAGATGAGAGGAGAGAGTATGTTCCTGCTGTTGCTGGCACAAAGCCCTCTAAATACCTAGGTTTAGACCAGTAACTATCTCAATGATATAAGTATTTCCACCTTTTTATTCTTAATGCTTCTAGCTTTTAAATGCTCTATTCTACCTTTCATAGGGCTCTTGTTCACTTTATTGAGAACTCATGCTCTGTTCATTCCTGTGGCCCTTAGTTGGAAGTATAGAAGTGTGGGCCTGTCAGTTTGCTACTTTTGCTTACTCTGCAGAACTAGCAATTTCTGTTGTATTTTCTCTTACCATTATGAACACAGGAAATTCAACTCAAGTTGTATTGGATAAGGTTGCCTTGCTGGAAGCCTGTGTGCCTCAGATGGGTGACAGTGCCCTTTGACCCCACATGGCCTCAGCAACTGCAGCTATGATAGAGAGCACGTGTCCTACCATACAGGACGCTCTCTGAAGCTGCCAGCTGATAAACCTTTGGGGTGATTTTCAGGTGCAGGTAATTCCTTGGGTCTTGGCTGACAGCAACTTTGTCTGGAGCCCATCTCAGAGACTGGATCCCAGCAGGACGGTGTTTGTTGGTGCCTTGCACGGAATGCTCAATGCTGAGGCCCTGGCTGCCATCTTGAATGACCTATTTGGTGGAGTGGTGTATGCTGGGATTGACACAGATAAGCACAAGTACCCCATTGGTGAGTGTCCTACTTCTGTGTGGGAAGGCTTGGTGCCCTGGGAGTAAATTAAGACTATAATACCTGCCCTTGAGAATGGAGAGAGAACTGACCCAGGTTTGCAGAGCATCTTTTCCTCCAGAAGTTACCAGTACTGGCCCATCTTGCTTCTGCTCCTGGTTCCCACATGGGGAAAGAGTGAGTGTAGTAGGATCTATGATAATATTGGTGAAAATGAAGAAAGGAGTTTGTTGAAATTCTCAAAGTACACAGCCAAACAGCTTAGGACAAAATATAGAAGTGTTGCATTTAAAGACTGTACCGAGAACTTGCCAGGCTCCTTTATTAAAAATTCTTTGGTGTTGTCTAGAGTAAGAGACAAGATCAGATCAAAGGTGCTTTCTGGATAACTCAAAAACTGGGACAACTATTACAACTATTGAGCTGTTCTACCTTTAAGGTAGTCTGTATCCTGACCATTGAGTTTTAATCCTTTCTGAGAAAGGAGGTTAGTTACAGACTTGGTACAGTAATCTCAGTGATTGCATTTGAAAGTGGAACCGACCTGAACTCTCTGATCAAGGCTTATATACTTAACCCACCTTCTCAGATGCCTGGTCTATCCACCCACACTGAATCTGATCAGGAACAAGCACTGTGTACTTGTCAGTTCTGTGATGCAGATGGAGAACTAGGACTTCAGAGGCTGTAGGGGAGGGGCCACACTTGGCAGGAGGGGGGGAATTCGTCGTCTGCTCGGTCCTAGTTCTCTAAGGTACCTCTGGGTCAGGCTAGGTTTGATTGCTATTTCTACCCCTTAGAGAATTTAGTCTGCAGCATAGTTTCCACCTGAGCCCTTTCTCCTTCTCTGTGAATGTACCTGCACAGGAGGAGCCCCTTCCCTCTTACTAACTTGTCTTATGTCATTACTGTCTAATGTGAGAGCCACCACCAGAAGGTGGTGAGTACATGTGTTAAAATATATGGAACACAGTGCGGTGGTGGTGGCACATGCCTTTAGTCCGGGCATTCAGGAGGCAGAGGCAGGTGGATCTCTGTGAGTTCAAGGCCAGCCTGGTCTACAGAGTGAGTTCCAGGACAGCCAGGGCAACACAGAGGAACCCTGTTTCTGGGGAAAAAAATCATGAACATATAAAATATATTATTAAAATTCCACTACTTTCGATTTTGCTTTGACAACCACTCAATTAGGAATTGCATGAATACTTATATTTATGTCAGATAGCACTGGTATAGAAATAGGGTTTCTTGAGCGTTTAAGAGAATTTGAACAGAATGTGTAAGCTTCTGCCGGGTTTTCTTAGGGTCTGGTCGCGTGACTTTCAATAACCAACGTAGTTACCTGAAAGCAGTCAGCGCTGCTTTTGTGGAGATCAAAACCACCAAGTTTACCAAGAAGGTGAGTGTCTGGTTATGCCCTTACTGAGAGAGACTTGGGTCAGTTTTAAAAACAGCATAGTTCCAAGGGTAAGGAGATGTGCTCCACTACAGAGCTAACCTGCAGGGATTGAGGGGGCCTTTGTCTCTGGGGACTCAGGAGAAAGGGACCTAGACTGTCAGCTGCCTGAGTGGGTGTGGGTGGGGAGAAGTTCCCTCGTTTTGGTATTTGTCTGAAGTTGAGTAGTTTGACTGTCTTTATCAACTTTTACCTGAATCCTCTGAGTACTTCCCTGCTGCTCCTTGATGGAGAACCAGGGTTCATTTTGCTGAGAAGAGCAAGCAATAAAGTCTTGTGGTTGTTAAATGTTAGAAGCAACCGGTTCTGTCTCTGTACAATGAGTCTATGCACTAAGATCCATATTTGGCCCTGGCCCACAATTCTGTCTAGGCTCCATTAGAACAGACAGACATACTGTAACCTGTGTACCCAGTAACATGCTCCTAAAGTTCACCTGACCCATAGAGCCATTTTATCTCCCTATGTTGCTATTCCTCAGGTTCAAATTGACCCCTATCTAGAAGATTCTCTGTGTCTTATCTGCGGTTCACAGCCTGGCCCTTTCTTCTGCCGTGATCAGGTAAGTTCCCTGGGCACTAGAAATGGCTAGTTTTACCACAGTTAAAAAATGTGTTAAGGCATATTTATGATGTTGAGTATTAGAGTTCTCATGTGACTTGTAATGCCTGAAAGCATAGAGACAGTAGTCAAGAAGGTACACTACAGATTCACAGTCTGGGAGTGTCAGGGTGCTTGTTGGGTTTCCCTTTCCCTTCCTAGGCTACTGCTGTACAAAATGGCCATTGGTGATGATGGTAGGTGCTTTTTGGTGTTATGTTTTTTGTTTTCAGTTTTCTTACTGTGTAGTCCTGACTGGCTTGGGACTCATGTAATTAAGCTAGCCTTGAGCTTGCAACAAACCTCCTTCTTTCCCACTGCCCTACCAGAGCCTTGGTATCATTGGCATGTGTTACCATACCCAGATAGTGGTTCTGTAGACATTGAATAGTTTACAAGCATTGAATAGTATCAAGCGCTACTGATACATTTTTTAAGTCTGACAAGCTTGTCCAGCTACAGTCTCTCATACTATTTGCCTCAGGATAGTTATGAATGCTGCCCAATCTAAAAATGTAATTTTAGGACATTTTTACCCCCCACCTTGTGAAGTATTGGTTTGGTTTTATATCTGGGTTGTGTGGTTCTCCAGCGTGAATCAACATTGTGTTGCGATGCCAGAAGGATAGGCACACCTTGCTGGGACTGAGTTTTTCCCTTTATTTCTGAACGTCTAGACTACTTTGGTGTTTGTATCTAGGTTCTAACCATAGTTGTCAGAGGGGAAAGCTACATGGAAACTTTGTATTGGGAGTCTCTGGGTGGTGGAACATGGGTGGACCTGGGCCTGTTTGGCAGTCAGTGCTTTCTGACTTGAATGTATATACACATCAACTTTGTTGAAATGAGAATCTGCTGAGTGGTGTTTGTGTTGCTGTTTTTGGATGACCTTTTTTAAAAAAAAAAAAACACATTAAAATGTTTTCGTGCATACAGTATATTTTGATCACATTTAACCCTACTTTTCCTAATTCCTTTCCATCTATTCCCTTTCAACCTTATCTTTTTGTTTTACTTTGATGCTTTTGCTGTTTGGTCTGGTTGGTTTTGTTTGTTTTTTTGAGACAGGGTTTCACCTTGTACCTCTGGTCAACCTGTAAACTATGTAAACCAGGCTGGCCTCAAACTCAAAGATCGACCTGCCTTTGCTTTCCCAGTTCTAGAAGAATCAAAGGCCTGTACTGCCATGCCCAGCCTCTTTTTTTTTTTTTTAAATAAGTAACAAGCCTAGTCCCACTGTGCTACTCATATACTCTTGGTAGTCCATCTACTAAGGGATAAATCCTTAAAGAAAACTGACTTTCTTTCTTCCAGAAGCTATAAGCTGTCAGCAGCTCTCAGCTAGGAGTAGTGGCTTGTGAGCCTTCTTCCTGTTAGTGCTGGAACGTTCTTTGGGTTGATCTTGTGTAGGCACAACCATCAAACCACATTTTGAAACCTTTTCTGGGATGTTGGGAACCTTTCAGACTCTAGCAATTCATCCGTGTTTAGTTGGCTTACAGTAATGCTGTTGTTTGCAGGAAGGCTGTAGATACACAGGCTCTCAAGAGAGCTCAGAGTAAGTAAGCCTGAAAACAAGTATCTTTCTAAATCACGTTCACAGTGGATCCTGTTTCACATTCTTAGTAGGAAGTTATGACTTGCTTAGGTTATTCAGCTAGCAAAACCAGTCACTTCTGAGAAGAGAAAGGCATGTCTCCTTATACTTAAATCTGTAACCAGTTCTTCAAACATTCTCTCATGTTGGCAGCCATGATATTCAACTGCTCTGTAGGTGAGAAGGGTGGGGAATTGGGAAGCTGCACGGTCTGTCTACTCACCAGGAGCCTAAAATGTTTGCATAAGGGTACACATGAAAAAGGATAGCATTTACTTTAGTCAGTTGCAGCTGTTACCATGAGAGGGCTAACAGGAAGTATCTCTTCTAGCCCCACAGAAACCAGGAGGCTTCCATCTCCTCTTGAAGTAGAACCTTTCTATCTAGTGCTAACCTCTGTTTTCCTAACCTAGGTGTGCTTCAAGTATTTTTGCCGAAGCTGCTGGCACTGGCGACACAGCATGGAAGGCCTGCGCCACCACAGCCCCCTGATGAGGAACCAGAAGAACTGAGATTCCATCTAGAGAAGCTGACCTTGCCCAGTGGCCTGTGTTGCCCAAGGCTGGCAAATCAGGCCTGTACCCTGCACTGGCGCCCAAGGAGCTAGCTTTCTGCAGACAAGGGAAAATTGTAGTCACCTTTGTACTTGCTAAATCTGTCTTTGTTTCTGCACTAATTAATGCACAATGAGTTTTGTCAGGTTTTGTTTTCAGGGGTGTGCCAGAGCAAGGACCCTCTGGCTCACCCTCAAGCAAATGTAGTTTTCCCAGATTCTAGTTCCTCGTTTTGCAAATGAAAAGAAAAACAACAACAAACTGTGTGTCCAGAAGGTATTGACACAGAAGCCTACACCTAAGTTTATTTATTAAAGCGCTTTTTACATTCCTTGCAATACTGACGGTGGTGATGCGCAGGTCTCATTGGTTCATTCTTGCAGTTGCCATACAGTGCCTTTCCATTTATTTAACCCCCACCTGAACGGCATAAATTGAGTGTTCAGCTGGTGTTTTTTACTGTAAACAAACAAGGAGACTTTGCTCTTCATTTAAACCAAATCATATTTCATAGTTTACGCTCGAGGGTTTTTACTGGTTCCTTTTTACACTCCTTAAAACAGTTTTTAAGTCATTTGGAACAATAAATTTTTTTTTCTTTTCTGGCAGCTTTTAACATTATAGCAAATTTGTGTCTGGGGGACTGCTGGTCACAGTTGCAAATCAAAGCATTTGTAACCAAGGGAAAAATTATTTTATTTAAAACTGGACCGGAGGAAAAGAAAATTAGGTCTGAGCAGCTGCTGTATATAGTTTTAAATGGTTTGTCGCACCTTCTTACGTTGCACTTACGTGGGGGGAGGGTTGGTAGAAGTTTTTAATCACAGTCACAGGGTTTTTTCTTTTGTAACTGAGCTTAAAAAAATTTAAAAAAGGGCTGCTTTTTGGTGGGGGCAGTTGAAGGCTCACAGGAGAGCCCTTTCTCTTAGAGGGGCAAGTACCCTTCCTTACATCTTTTATTTGAAGAATGTATGAATCAACAGAGTTGACACAAAAATGCTACTGGATTTTGAAACTTGACTTTTTCTTTTTAACTACTACTTGCCCCTCTTAGGGAAGCTGTGTGCCAAAGAACCAGTGTCATCCCCTCCCTCCTGCTGAGCTGATGTTGCATTGTTCATATCCCAGCTACTCTGTGGGTTTTGTGAAGCTGTGTGTGAAGTCTCTACCTCATTGTTGTATATGCAGGCAAGACTGCACTCTCTACAGATGTGTGGAGTAAGCTGTGGTGTACTTTTTTTGGCACATAATAAACACGTTGCAGCAGAGTTGTGCTTTTGTCTCAGTGTCTGGGGTGTGTATAGCAAGCAGGTAAGATTCCAGAGAAGAGTCCTCTCTTCTTGGATTTTCTGCAATAAGATTGCAGGGTAATAGTATGAGTGTGTGAAAACTGCCCATATGTGGCACTTGTTACATCCTGGTCAGCCAACTTTGGAGAGATCTGTCCAGTAGCTGGGTGATTACAGTCCGAAACAACAGACCTTGTTTCAGTTCCTTGGCCATCAAGAATACCCACAGGCACAACCACCAAGGTGTCAGAGCCACTTGGACCCTGCTGTCCTGTGAGTTCTGGCATGTTTCTTCTCTGAGACTCATGCGTGCTGCTGTCAGTCCTTTCTAGGTGGATGCTACTTTGCTTTTTTGGTTCAGGGTCGTTGTGTTCTTGTGTTGGAACTCCTTCTATAATCCAGCCTAGCCTCAAACTCAACAAAAGTCCGCCAGAGAAGCAGGCATCCTAAGGGATGGGATTAAAGGTGTGCACCACTATCCCCAGCAGCACTTTGGATTTTCTTGCCAGCCCTTACACTAGAGATTTTGTTACGACAGGGTGATGATGGTTTTCAGGTAGAGAAGTTAGGAACCAGCCTGCTGAACTGCTTTGGGAAACTCTAGCCTGAGGTTGAGGGACTCCTATGTACTAAAGCATCCCTCCTGTACGGTACAGAAACTCCCTACTGATCAGGATTTCTGTACTGTAGGGTCTCAAATCCCTTTGAAGCCTGGCAGCCACTTAATTAGCATTTCACCGGTAAAAGTAAGCTTGTGCAACACTGAGCGCACATTAACCCCTTCATCTCTTTAGTCTCCTCCTGTTCCTTAGATAATGGCATCTCTTTTTTCCTCCCTCCGTGAGCTACTTTCAGGTAAGGGTTTCTTGCGCTTCACCATCTGACCAGAGTGATGTGGATGAGTTGAAGGTTGAGGCACAGCGGTGGTCCCCTAGATACATCCTACGTGGCTGGCACAGTCTCATGTTTGAGTCTAGGACCCCATTGTCCCAGGAAACAGAGGAAAGGCCCTTCCTAGGCTGATGAGGACACTTAAAAGCCTGCTTTGGGTATGGCAGAACAGCCAGAAGTTGAATTTTGGATTATTAGGTATAGGTTCAATTCCTATTGTTCTAGAAATAAGAGGAGTAAAAGGAACTCGGCAAACATGAATTGTGCTTGGAGATAGTGTCTTAACTGGTTGGGAGCAGTAGAGTGAACTGAGATCTGAATTTGTTCACAAAAATGTTTGAGAGTGTCCTGCGGTGGCGGCACACGCCTTTAATCCCACCACTTGAGAGGCAGAAGCAGGCGAATCTCTGAGTTCAAGGCCAGCCAAGACTTTCACAGAGAAACCTTGTCTCAGAAAAAAAAAAAGTTTGAGAGCTTTCTGTGAACTCGCCACTGTTTTAAGCATTGGAAGTTAGCCTTCCTGTTTAGCTTATTCCCTAAAAAAAAAAAAAAAAAAAAAAAAAAAAAAAAAGTCACATGGCATGGTAATGCAATACGTTTATGAGCAACTCCAATGCAATACTGTGCTGGAGTGTGAAGAAAATCCCCCTGGTGAAGCGAGTTTGCAGTAAGTGAGAGGAGTCTCCAATCAGGCTAGAGCCGAGAAAGCTCTGACCTGAGTCACACAGGTGGAAGTCAGGAAGGGCTGCCTCTACTATTACACTTTCCAGGGCGCGCGCTTCCTGTCTGCCGGGTCTCCAACCCTCGGAGCCTCCCCTAGACTAAGCTACAGTGGAAGAGAAGCTATCAAGCCCGGAACTACACGGAGCGGAGACTCGAGCGGCCCGGCTACCTGCGTGCGCACGCGCAGACACTCGCTCCGCCCGCCGCCAGACACCGCCACTCCAGCCCGCCGGGGGGCGCTGCGGTACGTCCGCGCGCTGCGCGCCGCCCCAGCCGGGCGGAAGCGGCTCTCTGGCCTGCGCTTTATAGGTCTCGCTTGTGCTTCCTGTTTCCTCTTTTACCGGGACCCGTCAACATGGTAGGTGTTTGGCTCCTCGGCCTCTGTCCTTTCCAATCCGCGTCCATCCTCCGCCGGTCGCGGCTCCCAGCCCGCAGCGGGAAGCGGTCGGCCGGGCCCGCGCGGTGCCCGTCGGTCTGGCGCGCTTCCGCGTATAGCCGCGGGCTCGCTGGTGACTTTTGCCCTCCACCCGCAGGGCCGCGTCCGCACCAAGACCGTGAAGAAGGCGGCCCGGGTCATCATCGAGAAGTACTACACGCGCCTGGGCAATGACTTCCACACCAACAAGCGCGTGTGCGAGGAGATCGCCATCATCCCCAGCAAGAAACTCCGCAACAAGATAGCCGGGTGAGTGGGCGCCTCCTCGCGGGCTGTGCGTTCGCGGGGACGGCTCAGCCCCGGCCTGGAAACCCGATGGCTCGGCGTCTGCTGCACCAGAAGGAGGCAGTGCTGGCGGGGGCGCTGATAATCTTTAAGGGGTGGGTGTGGGAAACGAAGAGGGGACAGGAATGTGTAGGGCTGGCTGTGTGCGGTCGGTCACTGTTCCTTCCGGCTTGTGTGCAGCTATGTCACGCATCTGATGAAGAGGATTCAGAGGGGCCCTGTCAGGGGCATCTCTATCAAACTGCAGGAGGAAGAGCGAGAAAGGAGGGATAATTACGTCCCTGAGGTAAACTTCATCGGTCTTTCTCTGAATCTCTAGCTCCTGTCCAAGTGGTCATGGGAGTTCGGGGTGGTGGTGGGGGGGGGTTCCTTTGCAATGAAAACGCAGTGAGAGGTCCTAGCCTAAGGTGTTTTGAGACGGGGTCTCATTGTGTAGAACAGGATCGCCCCAAATTGATAGAGATCCTCCTGCCTCTGCCTCCTGACTTGTTTGCTGGCTGTGGGTGTCTGTTAGCCTTTCTGCCCTATCAATCAAGTTAAGTCAACTCTTTTTCCACATGGGAGCCTGGTGACCGTGTCTCCTGACCCGGGCACCCTGAACATACGTCTTCACTGTGAACCCGATCTTAGGCTTTCTGGACACTCAGTAGCTAATTCTGGCAGAAGAATAAAGCAGTCCAGGTGCACCCCTTAAATCCCAGTCCATGGAAGGCAAAGGTAGATGGATCTCTGGGTTCCAGAACAGCCTCTTTCCAAAAAAGGCAGAAGTGATCTTGTTCTTGTGGCATCCCCAGCACCGGGGAGCCATTGGCAGACATCCCTGAGGTTCGCTAAGGTCGGATAGCGAGGCCTGATCTTGAGAGCAGAGGAAGTGGAAGATAACTTATTCATAACTTGGACTTGATTCTTTCCCTTGTAGGTGTCAGCCCTGGATCAGGAGATCATTGAGGTAGATCCTGACACCAAGGAGATGCTGAAGCTTCTGGTGAGTGTTGTGATTTCTAGTTGAGGGCCACAACGTGGCTTTCTGTCACCCGGCTTTAAAATGCTTGTGGCTGCTTGTTCTGTGTGTGTATTTATTGATTTCAGGATTGCGGGACATTACGGTCTTGAGTCCTGTGCATTTTCTTTGTTCTGGGACTGGCTCCTAAATTGTCCTCCTACCCCTTTGATTCAGCTCTGGCTCTGTTACCTGCTTTCCTTGGAGACTCCAGAGTCTAACTTGAGAAATAATCTCTGGTCTCATTTTCAGAGTAGTCAGGCACCGCTTAAGACAGTTGACAGGTGTCTTTGGTGTGGCTTCTCTTAGCCCTTTTTCATAACCGTGTGATGCTAACGTGGGCTTCAGATCCCAACTGCTGTTAGTGATTCTGTGCAGTCTGGGTCGCTAACAAAATACTCTCCTCATATAACCACACCTGGATTTCATGAAACCGTGTGGCAGCTGAAGCTTGCTGTGGATCTGCTGAGGGTGCTTGGGGATAGGCCTGATCAGAACTTCTCCAGTCTTGGTACCTTGTACATCTGGTTCCCTCTTGGACTTTGGGTGAATTGTGATACCTCTTGACAGGGACTGCCCCAAACCCCTCCAACCATGGTGTGGCCTGAGCAGTAGTGTGCTTGCTGCCTTAGAGTCTGATAGAAAATGCTTACAGGCGGTTAAGCTTTAGCTAGAGAATGTTGAATCCTTGGGTGTGGAAGGCAGGCCTGGGTTTACTGGTGTTTTGCTAGTGGCTAGGGAGTGTGTGCTGAGCTTGGTGGGTGGATGAAAGTCTAGACAGCTGTGTTTAGTCGAGTATGTTACGTGCTCAGCAGCCCCTCCTGGGGGTGGCAAGCCCCTTGACTGACTTTGGTCCACACCCCAATCTGGAAGGGGCTGATACTAACCACAGATTACCCCTGCACCACTCACTACGAGTCTCATTTTGTTGCAGGACTTCGGCAGTCTCTCCAACCTGCAGGTCACTCAGCCTACAGTGGGGATGAATTTCAAAACACCGCGTGGAGCCGTTTGAGTTTGTTCTGTCATTTTCAATAAATCTGAAAATAACTTTGCCTTTGTTGTCCTTGCTGCTGTTCGGGTAGGAGGCTGAGTCAGGAGTTCTCAGGACTAACTAGCGCAGCCAGACACTGAACACTAACAGGCCTGCATGAGCAAACGTAGCCTAGGATTTGGGGAGATCTAGTGTGCCCGGGATGTGGCAGATGACTGCTTTGCCGTCGGCTCCCCTCAGTCTCTTGGATACCAGAGGTGGGACCAGCGTGCCCATTTGGAGGGTAGTGGTGTCGCCCAGGGTAGGATAGGTAAGCCTGTTGTTTTGTGGATGCTATTTGGTAGGGCAGGACGCTTCCTGCATGAATACCACAGGGGGTGCTGTTAGCACAGAATTTAGGTTTTTAATTTTTACTTTGAGCCCTAGAATTAATTCAGTGCGAAAATTCTTGCCCTTGGTAATAGTAGCTTTGAGTGTTTGAAGCTAACCTGTCCCTCCTTAACATTTGGCATCTGTTGATAATTCCTTTTACTAGAACCTTCCACAAGGGGAGGGCTTTCAACCTCAAGTTCGTCTGCCATAATTGAGATCCAGTACTTGGGAGAGACAGTTGGATGAGGCCAGCCTGGTCTGTATAGGGAGTTTCAGGCTAGCCAGGGCGACAAAGTGAGACTCTGCCTCAAAATACCTTACCATCCCCCCAAAAAATGAGTTGGGCAGGCAGCTCACTAGAAGAATGCTGGGTGTGGAAGCAAGAAGACCTGAGTTGGGGCCACAGGCTGGGCTCCACTGGTAATCAGGACCCAGAGACTGCTGGGGAGACAAGGAAGGTGCCATACACCTCAAAAACGTGATAGATTGGAGGGCGACAGTGTTGTCGGGATGAGTGTACTACATATATCCTTGAAGCTGTGGAGTTGACTATGGGATTGTGAAGAGATGGTGAAGGGGCTGCTTATAGTGAGTGTAATCACGATTCTAGGGCACACTTGGGTATCCAAAGCAAGTAGGGAAGGAAAGCGTCCATTTGGCTTATACTTTCTAGTTCACTGGTGGAGAGCTGCTGCTTCCTGCTTTGCCTCTCTTGTCTTGCTCAGCCCACTTCCACCATAATAAACTGCCCCTCACCCACATCGCTAATAAAATGACCAGCCTGATCTTGATTTTTTAAAGAAAAAAGTTTTATAGTTCCTAACAAATCTAACACCCATATTGCAGCTCACAGCCATCTGTAACTACACTTCAGAGGATCTGAGGCTTCCACAGGTGGTGCATAGATACATGAAGGCAAAACACCCATATATCGGTCTTTCAAAAACAAAATGTTGAATCTACCCCTTATCACTGCCGTATTCTGCCTTTAAAGTAGCTTCATGTGGTGAACTATGTATGAATCAATCCCCCAGATATTCTGCTATACTTAATGCTGAGGTAGGTGGGTGGTTGTTTTGACAGGGTCTGTCTTCGTTTGTAGCCCTGGCTGCTCTGCTCTCAGAACCCTGTCTGCCTCCCAGGTGCTAGAGTTTAAGGCGCATGCCATCACACCTGGCCCATTTTACTTGGTACACGTGTGCAGTCTCTAGCTGGCGTTAAAGGTATTCTGGACTGTGCTGACTAGTTTTATGCCAACTTGACACAAGCTAGCCGTGGTTCTCAACCTTCCTAATGCTGCGACCCTTTAGCCTTAGGTTGTGACCCCCCCCCTTGCGAACATAAAGTTGTTTTTGTTGCTACTAAGTAATTTTGATAGTGTTATGAGTTATAAATATCTGCTATTGTCACCCCTACCCCCAAGGGCTTGAGAGCTGCTGAGGGCCTCAATTGAGAATCCCTCCATAAGGTCTGAGTATAGGCAAGCCTGTAGGCATTTTCCTTAGTGATGGGTGGGGGAGGGCCCAGCCTGTGGTGGGTGGTGCCATCCCTGGGCAGGAAGGAGGTCCTGGTTGTTCTTACAGGGTTCTCTAAGAAAGACTGAGCAAGTCAGTAAGCAGCACCCTTCCCTGACCTCTGTCAGCTCCTGTCTCCAGGTTCCTGCCCTGACTCCTTTGATGGTGAGCCAAATAAGCCTTTCCTCCCCAAGTTGCTTTGGCCATGGTGTTTCATCACAGCGATAGGCACCCTACCTAAGACAAGTCGGTACCAGGATCCTGGGGCCTTGCTATCACAGACCCGACTGTTGGGGAGGTTGTGGAAGGACTGTGGAACTTTGGGCTAGAAAAGCCTTGCAGTGTTGAGCTCAGAGGCTGTTAATATGGGAGTTCGGAGATGATGGAGGCCTGGCTTGTGAAGTCTCCAAGGGAAGCAAAGACTACCGGGCCTTTTGTGGGAAGGATCTGTGATGTCAGCACGCAGAAACCATGCTTGATAGTCACCAGGTGATAGTGGTTTGAAGGCGTGAAGGGGCCATGGAGAGCAGCTGCGTCTTGGAACTGTTGAGAGGGCTGGATTCCCTGAAGAGACCCCAGGAGGCTGTTGGTGAAAGTGCAGCCCACTTGCTGCAGGGGACCATGGGATCACCACCAAGGAGAGCAGCAGCAGTGGGATGGAGCCAGAGAAGTGACCTCACCCCTAGGAGGAGCCCGGAAGATTGTCGAGTGCATCCCAGACATTGGATACTGAGCTACTTACACAGTTGGAGGTTGGTTTTGATTTGATTGATTTGCTTGTGGCTGTGTCCTGGTTCTTCCCTCTTAAAGTATTTTTGATTTTATAGGAGCCCACAGTTGACAATGAATTTTAAAGAGACTTTGGATTTTTTTCTGCATGTATGTCTGTGTGATGGTGTCAGATCTGGAGATAACAGACAGCTGAGAGCTGCCACGTGGGTTCTGGGAATTGAACCTGGGTCCTCTGGAAGAGCAGCCAGTGCTCTTAACCTCTGAGCCGTCTCTCCAGCCCCTATTTTGAATTTTTAGAGACTGAATTTTAAAGTGTTTGAATTTGAAATGACTACAGGACTTTTAAGACTTGGACTATTTTATGTCTTGATGTTCATATTAATGTGTGCTCTCGGGGATGAACAAGAAAGGAACGGTTGACTTTAGCAGTGATGCGTTTCTGTCCAAATCCATAAGGGGTTGCTTGTGCTGGCTAATCTTATGTCAATTTAACACAGCGAGAGTCATCCGAGAGGAGGGAGTCTCAGTAGAGAAAATGGCTCTGTAAGATTGGACTGTAGGCAAGACTGTAGGGCCTCTTTTTCTTTCTTTCTCTCTTTCTTTTCTTGTTTTTGTTTGTTTTGGTTTTCGAGACAGGGTTTCTCTGTAGCTTTGGAGCCTGTCCTGGAACTAGCTCTGTAGACCCGGCTGGCCTTGAACTCACAAAGAACCGCCTGCCTCCGCCTCTGGAGTGCTGGGATTAAAGGCGTGCGCCACCACTGCCCAGCTCTTTTCTTTTTTCTTTCCTCTCTCTCTCTCTCTCTCTCTCTCTCTCTCTCTCTCTCTCTCTCTCTCTCTCTCTCTCTCTTTTTGAGACAGGGTTTCTCTGAGTAACAGAGCCCTGGCTATCCTGGAATTTGTTTTGTAGACCAGGCTGGCCTCAAAATCACAGAAATCTTCCTGCCTCTGCCTCCCAAGTGCGAGAGCATGCTCTGCCACGTGTGGCAAAATCTGTTTTCATTCTTAATTTCTCCCCTCCTACCCCCCCCTGTTTTGTTGTTGTTGTTGTTGGTTTTGTTTTTTTTTTTCCGGGCTTGGTTATTTTTTGAGACAGGGTTTCTTTCGTAGCCCTGGCTGTCCTGAGAGTCACTCTGTACTCTGTCGACGAGGCTGGCCTCAAACTCAGAGATCCTCCGTGCTGACAGGTGGTAGAGCTGGCATCCTTGCCTTGGTCCTGATTTAAGGGAATGAGTTCACTTGTTTTTATTTGAGACGGGGCCTCTGGTAGCCCACTGTGTATCCAAAGATGGTCCTGAATTCCTGGTCGCTCCTAAGTGCCGTGATCTCGGGTGTGTGCTACCACACCCAGCTTTTCACTGTGTGCTAGCTGTGTAGACTCCCGCGGAGTGTGTGGTTGTTAGCTGTGTACTCCTATGCAGTGTGTAGCTGTGAGCTCTGCGCTCCCGTGCAGTGTGTAGCTGTTAGCTGTGGACTCACACGTGTAGTGTGTAGTTGTTAGCTGTGGACTCACACATGTAGTGTGTAGCTGTTAGCTGTGGACTCACACATGTAGTGTGTAGTTGTTAGCTGTGGACTCACACATGTAGTGTGTAGCTGTTAGCTGTGGACTCACACATGTAGTGTGTAGTTGTTAGCTGTGGACTCACACGTGTAGTGTGTAGCTGTGAGCTGTGGACTCACACGTGTAGTGTGTAGCTGTGAGCTGTGTGCCATTTCATGTGTTTGGGTATGTCCAGATTTGCCTCTTGTCTAATTCCGTTCCTGTGTTAGTCAGAGAACACACTCAGTATGAACTGAGTTCATCTTTTGAGAATTGCGAGCATAAGATGTAGTCTTTCCTGGAGTGTGCCTGACACACGGCGCTATTAGATTCGTGTTTGCTAAGTCTCAAGTGGAGCTGACTTGAGGAGTTCAGTTTCTGTCAGTGTTTTGAGACAGGGCCTTGTGTAGCTTGTACTGGCCTGGAACCAGCTCCCGAGCCAAGGATAGATAGCCTTGATTTCCTGATCCTTCTGCCTAATCTCCTGAGTTCTGGGATCACAGGTATGTACCACCAAACCTATCAATTTTTCTTTAAAATGTCAAGTTTCATTTGGTTCAGGTAGACACATCTATTCCCTCTTATTCCCTCTGTCACTGCCTGGATGGTGGGTTTTTTTTTTTTTTTTCAATTCTTTTAGTTTTAACTTTTGTATGTTTGAATCAAAAATATCTGTTGTAGAAAGCATTGCTCTAAGTTGTAAATGGCATTCAGATGATCCCTACCTGCAATTGGATGCTTAAACCATTTCTAATTCATTTATACTTAAGAAAATTCCTGATACGGTGAAGCTGTTGAGCTGCTCATTTCTCAGGGTTTCCTATTGTTCTGTAGTCCGGGCTGGGCCTCACACTTGATATTTGTGTCCTTACTGCCGTCTCTGCTAGTATACCAGCTAGTGCA